GTAGATTCATTGTAATTTTGGCCTAGACATCACTGCCACTGTACTCCTTTGTAAAAGGTAAAGTCATAAATGGAGTGATGAACAGAAGCTACAAATTTATATAAAGAATTGGTGACCTGAAGGCCTAAAAGGTTTTAAAAGTTATTAGTAGTCCTTGAGGATATTTGTAAGCAGAGGAAGGGAGGGAAAGTGGTGGAGGAGGAGGAGGAGATCTATAAATGCCATGAAGAGAAAGGTGACTGTTAGGGAGTTCCTGAAGCCCAAGAACCCATGCTGAAGGCAACTAGAAAGGAAAGTGAACTTCAGATAGGAAAGGGTTTCCCCTTAGCTATCTATGTAATTATTTTGGAACTTTGTTAAGCATTCAGTAGGATAAGAGATGTAGGAAGAAAGATTTGAGGCACACAGAGATAATACGACCCAGAGCCACAGGTCAACACCTCAACCAGAGATGATTAATTAAAGAAGCAGGGCCCTGCTGACATCTGTGCTTACCACATATGCAGCCACAACCTTGCGAAACGATTCCAGAAGCTCCTAACAGTGCCCAAAGATCCAGGACTCTTGGGGTTTGTACTGCACAGGAGTAAAAAACAAAAGGAATGGGGGAAATGTGGGTAGGAGCAAGATGTGTAAACTGATCAACTACCTGTGAGGTCTAGGCAGAGGGGGAACTTTGGAAAAACAGTCAGGGCCAGAGTCAGGGTTTGGTGAGACAGCAGAATCTGGAGCCCATGAGACAGAAAGGCAGAACAGGGGTGCAGGTCTGGATGAGGGCACGGGAATTTCCCATCCTGGAGTGATCATTGCCTCAAGGGATGGAATCACCTTTGGTACATGTGACCTTCCTGCCAGAGGATGACTAGCAATAACTCTGGAGAAGCCTGAGATGCCCTTGATCAGCACCCAAAGAGGGAGCAGGGGCAAGAAGAAAGTCACATCCTTTCCTGAGGAAACAGTGCAGCATGCAACACACAGCTCTTTCCCACACAGCTGCCTACAGTCTAAGTAGAGAGGGTTGCTGCATCGCAGGCATTATCACTAAACTCCCAAGCCAGGACTGCCTAGTGGAAGTTGTGCAATGATGTTCTGTCTTTCCAGTCTCCACACAGAAGCCACCAGCCACAAGTGGCTAAATGGTTGTCATAATGGACAGTAAATTCCAGGCTCTTGCTTTACAAGAATAGGCTTAGCTGCAAGTTTCTGGTATTGAGGAACCTTAATACTTGGCAAATTAAATTCTACATGGAAATGCAATGTACACTGATCACTGTAGTAAGGTTACCCTGGGCATAATATCAAAATCCTGGAGATTCTAAGGCTGTGGGCAGTTCCTGAAAAGATCATTTAGTACCTAGTGTGAAACATATGACCCTGAAAATACAGGAGGAGGAAGAGTCATTTTAAAAATTTTAGTATCTATCTAAAAATACACTAGAAAAACAATAGCTTTGTATACATCATAGTATCATAAAGTTTCATTTTTACTTTTAAAAATATTTATTAAATGTGTATGTGTTTGTTCCTGAGTGGCAGGAGCCCTCAGAATTCAGAAGAGGGTATCAGATCCCCTGTTAAAGGAATTACAGATAGTTGTGAACCACTGTTGTGGGTGCTAAGAATTGAATCTGGGTCCTCTAAGTGCATTTAACCAGTGAACCAGCTCCTGGTTTGTTCTGAAAAGTGAATTGTATTTGTCCCTTCTGGGCTGTGGCTGATATATCCTATTCATCCTTAAAAGGTAGGTTTTTCACCTGCAGAAAAATGCTGTGTATTTTTATACTTATGAGTTAAACTCTGTTTTCTAGAACCCAGGTATGCAAGGGTCAAATTCCTAAGGACTCAATTTTTAAAAATCCTCAAAGCTTTGCAAACAAAGCTAAGGAGTTTGGACTTTATCTTGTGGGGAACTGGAAGCTTTAGATGGTAGTTAGGTAACAATGGAAATCACCAAGATGAGCAAATGATTGAAAGCTACATAACCTTCATATTAATAGGGTAATGATATGGAATCCAGATGCACTTAGTGGTCCACACCCATGCACTCAAGCCATGTCTCCCTCTACTCCTCCTCTTTAGGGAAGTGCACAATGTGAACTTCAGGCCATTGTGTCCTGATTGCCATTGATGCCGTGGAGGTAAAATCTGAAGAAAGCGTTCTCTGCTTGTAGGACACCAAACACCCCAAAGAGAAATACCTCAAAGAGCTGAGCTCACTCTACTGCCCAATACTCTGTGGAGCTCTGAGTGACCAACTGGGGCATGTAGAGGAATTTTGAGAACATGTTTTATTAAATACAGTCCTTACTGAGGACTGAGTTACTGTATAAATCATCTAAAGAAGAAGTAATAGTTAAAAATCACCATTTGCAACTATTTACTATTCTTCACTATCAGCTAAGCTCTTATGGCTGGCTACCTGTGTCACTTACATACATGGTGAGAACACTGCTGAAGGTCTTCTCCCCAACCCCAGTGATATGTTAGAAGCTCGGAATAGCCTAAAGTTGAGGCATTTGCACAGAAATTAACAAACAGATGAGAAATTTTTCTGCAAAAAGTCTATAGACATTTGTCACACTGTCATTAATGTCCACGCACTGCAGTATTCTCTCCATGTAGAGCCCCACCACCACCACGCTCTTTGTGATTGTAGCAGCCCATCTCTCCACAGATCATCCCAGATTAGAGTTATCAAATGCATTTTTGGGGTGGCATGGTGATCTGACTACTTTATTTGCATTTACTCAGCCTGGGTGATTCTTTATGCTATACACACACACACACACACACACACACACACACACACACACACACACACACACTAACGCACACACCCCACAGAGAGACAAACACAGAGATTCTCACTTACTGAGCCTCACATATTGGGCTAGCTTCCCAAGGCAGCTAAGACCAGATGCTGGTCTGGTCCCTGGAGTAAGGACTAAAAGAAGGGCATTCCATGAGGCTGGTAACTGTTCTGGGTATCTTTCTGAGGTGCCCAGTTCCTAAATGTCACTATGTGGCTAAGAATCCCATAGAAAAACTAATTTGTGATACCCAAAACATAAATACATAGCTGGAGGCAGCAACAATTGTTTTGTCCAAACTATTCACCACCTTTCCAGGACCCCTTACCAGGCTGCTGGGGCTGGAGATGGCTCATTGGGTAAAGGGTCTGCCTATAGGCATGAGGATTTGAGTTTCAATCTCCGGCACCCACATAAAAAGCCAGGGACAGTGGCACATGACTACTTCTCCAAATACTGAGGAGAGAATATGGAAACTGGAGGGTCCCTGGAGTGCATTAACCAGCCAGCCTAGCAGACTCCTAGAGGATCAGTGAACTAAGGTCTCTAGGCCATAACTCATTCACTGCTGAGATTAGCTTTGCTAAGGCATTGACTGCTCAGGGATATCTTCATGACTTTGGACTTGATAAGGAAGAAGTCGGGCTTTTTGTTATTATTGTTATTTTTGTTTTTTGTTTGTTTGTTTTAGAGATAGGGTCTCTATGTAGTCCTGGAGTCACCATGTTAAACCAGGCTGGCCTTGAACTCTCAGATGCCACAACTTTTTAAAAAAGTTGGATAGATTTGTTTTTTGATTGTTTGGTTTGGTTTGGTTTTTTGAGACAGGGTTTCTCTGTGTAGCTTTGGAGCCTATCCTGGCACTCGCTCTGGAGACCAGGCTGGCCTCAAACTCACAGAGATCCGCCTGCCTCTGCTTCCCGAGTGCTGGGATTAAAGGCGTGCGCCACCAACATCCTGCCGAGATTTTGTTTGTTTTGTAATATTTATTTTCATTTTATGTGCATATGTGTCTGTGTGTGTGTACATGCAGATGCATACAGATGCCCTCAAACAACAAAAGAAGGCATTGGATCCCCTAGAGCTGGAGTTACAGGTAGTAGTGAGATAGCCATGTGGGTGCTGGATACTGAACTCAGTCCTCCAGCCCACTTGTTTATTTTTTGAGATAGGGTCACCTATAGCAGGCTAGCCTTGAACTTGCTATGTCGCTGAGGATGACTTTGAATTTCTGATCTACCTGCCTCTACCTCCCAAGTTCCAGGATTACAGGTGTACCTCCCCATACATACCCAGTTTACAGAGAGCAAGGAATAGAGCCCAGGATCTCATGTATGTTAGGCAAACTCTAACAAACTGAGCTATATACATCTCCAGCCCAAATAAGACTTTCTTGAAGTTAAGAATTCAATTCTTAGAAGACACTTATGATGGACTAGAAAGGCAACACAGAGTAGGAAATGAAACTGTTGGTATATTAAGCAGATATAGGGCCCCATAGTCAGAGTAGGCAAACAAATGCAAGTCAGTAGAAAAAGACAGCCCAATAAAAACTAACCAAAGGCTCAGGCAGACATTTCAGAATCCCGGGGCTCTTTTGATGGCCCAGTGAGTACACGGAAAGGTTGCAGACTTGTCAGATGTCAGGGAAATCAAAAGGCAAATTGAACCATCAGTGCACAGTCATAAGTCTAGACAGAACTTTAAAAACAGGATGGCAGGGCCAGTGAGTGGTAAGATCACTTGCCTGGCTACCCACAAATGGTTCTCTGACCTTCACTCGTGCTGTGGCACCTGCCCCCAATAAACGCTTGTTTTTGTTTTGTTTTGTTTTGTTTTTTTAAATGTCGAGTGATAGCGAGGATTCAAAGCAGCTGAGGCTAATGAGACTGAACTGGTATTTCCTAATGCTGTCCATAATCCCCAAACTCCCTACAGTGAGTGCATCCATCAGAGGAATATGTCAGAATAGTAGCCACAAACTGGAATAACACAAATGTCCATCAGCAATAGACTGGAACTAGGCGTGGGAGGAAGCTGAAGAGGGGGGTAAAAATCTATAATCTGAAGCCAGAGTCCTTCTGCTGTATTGTGACTGCTTTATTCTTTACTATTTTAAGGTCAAAAGTTCTAGGATAGGTAGTTTAAGCTTGTTGGGGTGGGGGTGGGGGAGCAGGGATTTGTTTTGTTTTCTATTACAGATGAAACAGAGTCAAAGGTGTTAAATGACTTGCCCAAGCCACGGAACTTAGCCAGTGGTGGAGTGGAGACAAACAGACCCGAGGTCACTGCACTAAACTTTGTGGAGTCAGGTTCAACTACATTTCCTTGTTGGACCGACAAAAGCATGAAAAATCTTAGGTTTCCACCTAGCCTATGGAATGAGAGTCTCTAGCTCCCATAGGCCTCACAGCAGTTGTTCAAAACCTGATTCTGCCACACTACAGGTGTAGGGAAGGGCAAGTAAATGGAGACGCTTAGGTCTCTGTGCTAGGATCAAACTGAGGGCCTCAAAAGTGCTAGGGCAGTCAGTGCTCTGCCACTGAGCCTCCACAGCCAACCTCTCTATGCAAAACTCATTTCTCCTCTGGAACGCCCTGGGTCCCTGTCTATCTGGTTCTGGGAGTCATCCCTTTAAATTGTCCCTGCAACTCCGATTTAGGTGAACTAGGTGGTATGAACCAAAAGAAACTGCCCCAGTAAGTCAAAAGAAGCCAAGAACAAGTCATCCCTCGGCTTTTAAATGTTCCCGCCATCTGAATGTCAGCTCTGGCGTGAGAGTGCTGTGTTTCCCTGTTGCACAGCAGCGCCTGGCATATAGTATTGCCATCGATGAATCAGTAAGAGGTTGAGGAAATGTGATCCTTTCCCCACGCTCTGAAGTCCACACCCGGTGCCAAGGAGGGGCGCCTTCCCCGGCGGGGTGGGGCTCGCCGCTCCCCGCTTACCGGCCTCGCCCCTCTTGCGCGCGTTAATGAGATTAGCAATTAAAAGGCGGGCGAGCAGCGGCCAGAGACCAGGCCCTGACGGAGAGCGAGCTTGGGACATGGAGAAGGCACGGCCTCAGTGGGGCAACCCGCTGCAGTTCGTGTTCGCCTGCATCTCCTACGCCGTGGGCTTGGGCAACGTGTGGCGCTTCCCCTACTTGTGCCAGATGTACGGCGGAGGTGAGTGCGGACACGCAGGACGCCGGTGGCGGTGGCGTTCAATCCCGCGCGCCCCAGCTCGGGGTGGCATTCTGTCCCGAACACCTCAGCTCAGGAAAGTATTTGGTCCCACGGGTTTCAAGGTGCAGGGACTTTCGCCCTAAGATACTGAGCCTAGCGGTCCTAGAGCAGCAGGTGCCGGGCAGGGTTAGGCGGGGAACCTGTTGTCCTGTGGCAGAACAGGTGCGTCACCCCTCTACTGAGATGTAAACGTGAGCAGTAAATTGTTTAACAGGAACTTGCCATGCAACCTGCAGATCCGAAATTTAAGTCCCCGACCACAAGTTGAAACACAAATGAAAAGGATCCTGAGTTACTTCTTTAATTTTTATTAATAAAAAAGATTGGTTTGTGTATGTGGAGACCTGGTTTGGGCTTGGAATCACAGAAAGCAGAAAAAACAAATAAATCCATACCCGTTTAATTTGTTTCTTGGTTCTGCTGTTGCTTTGTTTTTATAATGTTTCCTCTGACGGGGGTCGGACGGGGTGAGGGGCAGAATAGATAGCCGCACCCTCACCCTGCATTCCCTTAGTGGAACGAAGAGTTGGGAACTCCTGGGACTGAGACCTGGACCTTCCAAAGGCCAAGTACCTTTCTGGAGTCATTATGACACGAAGGGAGTAAGTCTCAGCATATATATTTTTTTTTTAAAAAAATCCTCTTTAATTCCATTTTCTAAGACCTTGTCTTAAAGGAAAACTCAGCGTACTGAGGCAGAAAATAACGTGGTCACCATCTTTTAATAAGATCAAAACGTTAAAAACTTTTTAAGCCCTTCAGAAAAGGAATTGGTTCGATAAATTGTGGAACATTCACCTAAAGGTGCCCTTGACAGCCAGAAAGGTAAAATTTTAATAAAATTTTCTCTTGATATTTTATCATATGCTAAGTGGAAGGAGAAGTCAGATTCAAAACTGTAACATTTTAAAGCAGCCGTGCCTAAAACCATGCATAGATAGGAGAACTAAGAAAAATATTCTCAAGTGTTTAGAGTAGTTCTCTGGGTGGCCCTTGTTTACCTAATAGCATGTGTGTGTGCACGTGGGGGATTAATCGGCACTCTTTTTCTCACCCTCAGAACAGTGAAAGATGCTAAATTAGTGTTACAAAATTTAACCTGTTTAAGAAAATCTAACCCTCCTGTCACTCTAGCCAGATCAAAACCAACTCAAAAAAGGTTAATCTATAGATTTTTTTAAAAAGTGCATCTTTTCTTAATTCTCTGGCTCCTTTATTATAATTTGAAGTGTGCAGATGCTGCATCTGTAGAGGACACATGCCATCACACACTTCTAATGCTTCATAATTGGCTTTGGAAATCATTATTTTCAGAAGCAGATTTTCATATCTTTAGTACACCTGCATGAATGCCTTTGCCTGGGTCCATAGTTCCCAGCCACCAGGCCAGGTAAACCACACTGTCACACGACGGCTTAATTTCCTGTTTAAAGTGACACCATCACCTGAACAGTCTTCAGGTGGCTACAGTGATGCTAAATGGTTTTTGAATATGTATGTGAAGACCTTCAGGATACTGCAAGAGGAAAGCAGAAGGAATTATAGGCGGCTGCCGTGGATGTTTTGCTGGAACGGAAGGTGGGGTAGATGAATGGATCAGTGTGGAGCAGGTGAGAGGAGGTAATTGTAGATTAGACAGAAAACAAATTCATCCAGAATAAAAACTAAACTGTTTGCCCTGGCACCATAGACACTTGACCATCTCTTGCCTGATATTTTCACTTCACACTGTGCATCTTCAGTTCCTAAGCTCTTCCCTGCCTCAACTACCCACAAGTTGGGTATCCAGCTACCTACTATGTAGCTCCTCCCTACCTTGGCTGTTCTTTACTTGGAGAACTTCCTTGTTACCCTCCCCTGCTTGTCTTTCTGACTCTCCTGACCTGTAAAGTCAGATGAGCACTTGGTCATGAACACTGGGAGCTTTAGAATGTTTCTCTCACCCTGCTCATCCAATCCCCCAGTGCAGTGAAGCCAGAGGCAGTACCCCTGAATGAATAAGCAAGACCTGCAATGAAAAGCTATAAATTCAGGCTGAGAAGATGGCTCAGTGGATTAAAGCACTTGTGGTGCAATCATGGCGATCAAAGTTTGGATACCCAGAACCCAGGTAAACATCTGGCAGATGTAAGAGTCTGCACTCGGGAAGCAGAAACAAGATTCTTAGACCAAGCTGTGTAGCTAGACTAGCCCATCAGAAAACTCTGAGTTCAATAAAGAGACTTAGCTCAGTAAACAAAGTGGAGACTGATGAAGGAAGACACCCACCATCAACTTCAGACTTACACTAAACATATGCACATGTACACACACACACACACACACACACACACACACACACACGTAAAGTCAACAATGAGAGATGCTGGTGGCACTCCCAGCCCGCTCTAGGTCCATAGTAGTCAACTACCAACAAGTTATTAACATCATCTGAAACCCAGGTTATTTTAACTCACTCAGCCTCCATGGTAAGGATGGACCAGCTACAACATGAAAAACAAACAAAAAACTATAGACTCTAGAATAGTGGTTCTCAACCTGTGGGTCACAAGCCCTTTGGCAAACCTCTATCTCCAAAAACATTTGCATTATGATTCATAACAGTAACAAAATTACAGCTATGAGGTAGCAATGAAAATAATTTATGGTTGGGGATCACTACAACATTGTAGGAAGGTTGAGAACCATGCTCTTGAGTATAAAGAAGGAATGTAAAATGCCTCCTGACACAGATGCAGTCATGCCAGTCAACAAGGAGCATGTTTATAAACTGCAAAAAAACCTCCGGAAATCAAACAGATTGTAACTGCTCCCTTCAACCAGCCCTGAACAAAGGTTGTTAATTCTAAGGATTATGTCCCAGGTGTCCCTCTTCTCTGCACAACTCTTATCAATCCAACCCATACACCAAAGACAAAAAAAAAAAAAAAGAAAAGAAAGAAACCAACAAGGATGTTGAAGGAACTCTACAAAATCCCATTTTCAAAAGAGTCAGCAGGCCAAAGTCCAAGGCATTAATTACTTCTAGACTGCAAATGTGCTGAATACAAATGTGTGAAAACATACACACACTAGCAGCTTTCATAAATGCGTGTGTGCACAATGAATCTACCTTCCAATGAGATCCTTGGGTTCAGCAAACAGGGTACTGCTGTGGTAGTTATAAAGATGAGTAATTGTGTGCTCCAAATAACTGATTGTATGAGTAGGAATTCTGGAAAATAGAGAAATACATGAAGAATAAAATACAAACTCAGAGTCTAGAGATGAGGTTTAGTAGTGAGACTAGCATGAATGAGGCCCTAGGTTGAATCCTTAGAACCCACACAAACAACAACTACAACAACAACAACAACAAACCTGAAATTCCCAGAGATAATAACAGTTCCTATTTCTTATTTAAAAAGTTAGAACTACATTTTACATGTGATTCGATGCTTTGCTCTTAAAATTAACCTAGCCTAAGGGGCCAGCAAAATGGCTCAGTGAGTAAAATGGCTCAGCAAAAAGGCTCTTGCTTCCAAACCTGATGACTTGAGTTCAATCCCGAGAACACAAGATAGAAAGAGAGAACCAACTCCTGCACATTGTCCTCTGACCTTTACATTTGACTTCTGTACATATGACCTGGCATATGTGATAAAACACCTGGTCAGGCATGATGACTAATAGCACTCAGGTAGCTGAGGCAGAGAGATTTTGAGTTCAAGAGCAGTCTGTGGTATGTAGTGAAATCCTGTTTCAAAAAAAAGAAAAAAAAAAAGCAGAGACAATAAAATGGGGGGGGGACTTTTGTAATCATTTTCAAAGTCATATTCTTTAAAAATATAAACTTAAATGGCTATAGCATTCCATTTATAGAGGTAACAACACATTTAACCATTTTCTAGTTGTGGAACCTAATTGCTTTAAAGTTTGACCCTTTATTATCGCATAATTATAAACTTCTAGTGAAAGAGTTGGATCCATTTATAATCATTATCAGACTACATTTTGCTGCTGCTGATAATGATAATAATGATGATTATTAAAGGCAGGGTTTCTCTGTGTAGCCTTGGCTGTCCTGGAACTCTCTCTATAGACCAGACTGGCCTCAAACTTAGATCTGCCTGCCTCTTCCTCCCGAGTGCTGGGATTAAAGGTGGTTACTACCACCTACTAGCTATTGGCCATTTTATGTTTTTGCTATTTGCTTGTTGCATTTTGATCTCTTATAATATAAAATATATTTGCTTTTTCTCTCAAATGATTACAGGTTTTAAGTTCTGATTTTACTCTACCAATAATTAATTCATATTTTTGAAAAATGTTTATTTTCTTCATCAGTATCACAAATGAGATATTATCTTTGATATCACCCCATGGAGTTGAAACTTTTAACACATTCGCATTCCATTTTATGTTGTTATAACTGAATTGCACCAAGTGAGAATTTATAAAGCATAGGCATGTGTTTAGCTCATAAATCTGAAGGCTGCACAGTCTGAGAGTATGATGCCTGTATAGGCTACTTTTCCCTGACAAAGGCAACTTAAGGAAAGAATTTGGCTCACAGCTTAGGGTACAAACCATGCTAGCAAGGAAGTAATGGCAACAGGATGCTGCTGTTTTCCCTACCATCACCAGCACTCTCGTGTCTGTTTGATGTCTATACACACGTGCGCACACCCAGGTGTTCACGTGTTATTTATACAAGTGTGTAGAGGCCAAGAGGTCAACATTGTGTCTTACTTGATTACTCTCTACCTTATTTTTAAAAATTTAAAAACATTTATTTTTATTTTATGTCTATGAGAGTTTTGTCTACATGTATATATCTGTATACCATGTACATGCCTGGCGCTCATGAAGGCCAGAGAGGGTGTTAGATCCCCTGGAACAGGAGTTATAGATAGATATTAGCTACCATGTAGGTGCTGGGAATTGAGTCTGCAAGAGCT